CAGAGGAAAAAAACCCCGGTAACCTGGTTGCCGAGTTCACGAAGTGAATTGGCTTGTTTTACAACGTCTTTGCCAAGCGACGAAAACCCAATCCCGATGGCAAACACCGGGGGGGGCGGCTTGTTTTACAACGTCGTTGCCAAGCGACGAAAACCCAACCCCGATGGCAAACACCGGGGGGGGCGGCTTGTTTTACAACGTCGTTGCCAAGCGACGAAAACCCAACCCCGATGGCAAACACCGGGGGGGGCGGCTTGTTTTACAACGTCGTTGCCAAGCGACGAAAACCCAACCCCGATGGCAAACACCGGGGGGGGGAAACACCGAGTCGGGGGTGGGGCAAACTCGGGGTGTGATCTGAGTTCTTGAAACTCCGACCATGTTTCTGATCCAGAACCATGAGTGATGGCGCAACCGCGAAAATACGAGCGTTTGACGCGCTGTGTCACCAAACAATGAAACAGTCGCAACAGGGGAGACATGGGGTTACGATTCACGGTGGTAGTGCCATACTATCGGTGCTACAAGCATGGCCTACAAGCGGAATTGGAGGGGATATCTAACCTCCAAAGGCTTGTCGCGCCGTCCCAACCGACGCCTGACTCCCTCACTGTGTGACAGCATCACCAACGGAACATCGAAGACTGTCCGACGTGGCCTTCCGTCCTCTCGCTAAATGACGGTCTAACCCAATCGGATACATGCCGTCGACTAGGCCAATCGTTCTTCATCTCACCCTCTCGGCTGTAGCCTGCTGTGCTCTGTCGGTAGCGTCATCTCTGGCCGCATCGCCGTTGCCGTCGTTGGAGGAGGACTCCATGAGCTTGAGGATTTATTCGAAAACCGGGGAGTAGTCAGTCCAGAATCGGCCTTTATCGTCGACGTTCGGCCTTTACGAACGGAGGAGTAGAGAAGGACGATTGCAGGCAAATACATGGCAGAAGTATTCATATGTGTCCAGTCTCGTTGCACTCGATACACGTGGATAACCGTTGTTCATGGCGTGGGCAAAAGAAATGCACAAAAATTACAAACTGGTTCTGCCCACCTTCGTTCCCAGGAAAGAAAGTCACATGAGACATATGGGTCCCAGATCACGGCATTGGGGGAGAGGACAACGTGATGACGGTGCCCCACAACGAGGTTGTGCTAGTGTTGTTTATGTGCCTCACATCAATTCTCCAACATCCCGCGTGCAATAGTCTCAGCAGGTGAGATTACGCGATGGATTGGACACCGGAGCCTGAATATGCCCGGAAAGGTGCACGTTGATTCGTTTTCCTTTACTTCTCCTCGCCAGGACAAATTTCTGCGGTGGGAATTGTAGTTGGCACCGTACCCGTATCCCACCTATGGAGTATCTACGTCAATATCAATCTATACCCAGGCAGACTTTGCGGTTGTAAATGCGGATGATCTCGCCTGCCCACCAACTGCAAAGACGCGACATGCTCCTTGTATAAACTGCTTCAACTTTGCAATAAATACAATATGTATAGTATGGGACAATAACAAAACGTTGCTTACGTTTGCCTATGTTTGTGGCAGGCCGTTCTGCATTCGTTGAACCAGTACCGAGCGGTGGACTCCGTCGGGAAGGGGTGTCCAGGTAGTTGGCGCACCTGTACTTCATCCTCGCCTCCTGAGGCAGCTGCAGTCACTTCTTTCGGACGGACTCGAACAGGGGTTTTTACTCGGTGATGTAGTCCACCGCTCTCGTCTTCCGTGTGAATTACGCCCCTCTATGGCCAAGCCGGTGCGAATCCCTCACCTTCTCCAGGAGGGCCTCAAACAACATGCCCTTGTATACCAAGCTAATCTGTCCCCTCGCCCTTTGGTTCGTTGCACCTTCGTCGGCAACGGTAACGCCCACTTCTTGTACCACGCCGCTTGCCGCCGCTGCTCCGACCCCATGGGTAGGGGCTGCTGCCTCTTGCGCCCGCGGCGCAGCCGCCGAAAATGACGCAGCTTCAGGGGCAGGAGGTTCCGCCTGGTTCGGCGGCGCCACAGCCGCCGATCCTGGCGGGACTTGAGGGGTAGCATCAGCGGCCGCCTGCTGGTGCCGCTGCTATTCCGGCTTGGAGGGCAGGAGGTGCGAGTGCAGGCACCCTCTCCGCAGCAGCCGCAATCTGCCCAGGGGCTTGTGAGGTAGATGCTGTCGCCATTGCCGCCGGTGCTGTCGCGACGACTCCGGCGTGAGGAGCAGGGGGTGCGGATGAAGACACCCTCCCTGCCGCAGCCGCTGATTGCCCAGGCGGAGAGGAGGAAGATACGGTCGCCGTTTCCGCCGGTGCTTGTTGGTATGTCCGTCCTTGGGAGGAGAAGACACGCTTTAACTCTGTCTGATTAGGCACCCGCAGGAGCGAGGAAAGGAAGGGAAGAAGTGGCCCTCCCGAATTCGGGGAAGGGGGCCCACACATAGTAGCCTTTTCAGGCATGCGCATGCTCCTGTCTACGTACCCCCCCCCCGTGCTGCTATCAGATCTACCATGCTCGTATCCAGACACACGAACACCCTCCCCGGTTCGTAAAGCTATTGACAAACCACCAGTGGGGCATGGATACTCCAGATCTACTTAAGTCACTCATTTAACAACGGGTGCAAGGGAAAAAACTCGGCCATCCGGATCAAAACCCCTCGCCTACAAACTCAAAACATAAAAGAAACCGTCGCTATCACGAAGGATTCCAACGGCCGCACTATCAGGGCAGGACCAAGGCAGGACAGATTGGACAGGCCACGCTGATTACACACCCGAAGCAATTGGTCAAAAACCCTAAGCTCCCGCCGCGGGTGACGCCCCTGCCCAACGCTTCCTGCGTGACATACCATGGTCCGAGACGCGCCCAGTGCTAGAACAAAACAAAACAAACGCCACGAAAACGAGACCAGAACCCTACATCGGCAGGTTCATCAGAGCCTTCCGGTGGTACTCCAACTTGCCCCTACCAAGGACCTTGGTCAGCATATCGGCGTGCTGCTCTTCTGTCGAGACATAATCTGCGGTGATCTTGCCCGCCTTGAAGAGCTCGCGGATGAAGTGGAACCGCACGTCGATATGCTTGCTCCTCGCCGAGCTGAAAGGGTTCTGCACCAACGCGAGAGCCCCCTCGTTGTCCTCACGGACCCTGATCGTGGCACCGCTCGTCTCGGGCGCAATGAACGACAGAACACCACGCACGAACAACGCTTCCTTCACGCCCTCCCCGGCTGCAATATACTCTGCCTCCGTGGTCGACTGAGCCGTCACTGGCTGTGTCTTCGTGGATGCGCACACTACGGTCCCACCTACAGTCACGGCTAGCCCCGTCGTCGAACGCCTGTCAACGGTGCTGTCGGCGTAACTAGAATCGACGAACACGTCTAGGTCTAGCCCTGATCCGCGGACGTAGGTGATCCCGAGGTCCTTCGTCTCGTTGAGGTAGGACATGATCCGCACAAGCGCGTTCCACATCCTCTCGGTGGGTGAGTGGGCGATCTTCTGCAGCTTGTTCAAAGGCAGCGCGATGTCCGGCCTCGTGAACAGCAACCACATCAGGCATCCGATCGCTTCCCTCACGGGCTTGTCCACCGAGGACTCGTCGTCTCTCTTCGGCCCTAGGTCATCGTCGACGACAGCGGGCGTGGGAGCAGTGGTCGTGACATTGAAGCGGTTGAGCATGCTCTCGATATAAGCCGTCTGGGACAGCTTGGTGGTACCATTCTCAAGGTCCACCTCAATGGCACACCCATCGTACCAGGTACAATCTCCTAGATCCTTCACAGGGAATCTCTTCTGGAGAGACGCTAGCAACTCTTCACGCTCCTCCTCGGTCGCGGACAACATGATGTCATCCACGTAGATCACGATGAGACCTACGACTTCTCCGTCAACCACCTTGCGGAAAATGCAGGGGTCCACCCTGCACTGCTCGTAGCCGTTTGAGATCAGGGCATCGGCAGCCTCAAACCCCCACTCGCGCCCACTCTGCTTGAGTCCATACAGAGCACGCTCGACTTTCACCGCCTTGCCAGTCCAAACACCACAACCGTCTGGAAGCCTCAGGTAGATTTCTTCCTTCAGCTTGGCGTGTGTGTACGCCTGCTTGATGTCCCAGTGGACAGGCCTCCTACCATTCTCGGTGGATACGGCCACCATAGTTTTGATGGACACCGCGGAAGGGCATGCGGATGATGAGTGGTGAAAATCCACACCGGGAATCTGAGAAAAACCACGCGCAACCATACGTGCTTTGAAGTCGACAATCAGCCCCTTCTCATTGGTCTTGTGCGAGAAAATCCACTTCGCACTGATGGCCTTACGCCCCTCGGGCAGACCGCTAATCTCGGAGAACGTCCCCGTCTTCTTGTGGCCGTCGAACTCCTTTGCTATGGCTGCTTCCCACAGCACCTTGTACTTGGAGTTAAGGACATCCTTGTACGTCAAGGGCACGCACTCTACATCACTTGGCTTCTGGCCGAAGGGCGAGGGGATACTTAGCTGCGGGTCATGAAGAGGTTGCGATGACCCGTCGTCCCCTGCCTCTGCACCGAACGCCTCCTCCTGCAGCTCGGTGCCGTACGGCAGCTCATGCATCTCACGCCGGTACTCGATGTTGACCTGCTCCTCGTCGTACCGCTCCCGCACCAGCGAGTTGGAAACGTAGTCCACGATGATCTCCGCCAGCAGCGCTTGCTCGGCGTCTGGCTCGGCGTCTGGACCCGGCGGCTCCTCGGGGCCTTGCAGCTCCCGGGTCTCCCTTCGTGTGCGGCCGCGCTCGAGCCCGTGGCGCAGCGGTCCTTCCTTCGAGGCGCCCCAGAGGAGCCGACGCCCTTCGCGGCCCGGCGGGTAGCGGCTGTCGGCGGGATCAAACTTGTACTCCTCGAGTTGCTCGGAGTCTTCGCCGGGTTCGCTGCCGCCGCCACCGCCATCTCCAGAGGCGCCGGGCTCACTGCCGCTGGCGCCGCCGCCGTCGTCGTCGCCGGCGGCGTTGCTGCTGCTGCTGTCGCTGTTGCTGCTGCTGCTGCTGCTGCTGCTGCTGCTGCTGCTGCTGCTGCTGCTGCGGTCGCTGCTACTGCTGCTGCCGCTGCTGCTTCCATCGAAGTCGCCTCCTCCCGAAGGAGGCGACAGGGGGACGCCCGAACCAGCGTCCCCGGTCCCGTTGCCGGGTGCCGCCGGCGCCTTCTCTTGCACCGGCAGCGTCGCTCGCCCAGCCTCCGTCACGTCGAGGTCGGAATCAGACTCACTCTCCGAGTTTTTCCCCCCCCCCGCACCTTGACGGGACGTGCTCTGCTTGCTCTCGTCCTCCCCGCCCTCCTCGTCGTCTGCGAGAGGCAGCAGCTGCGGGGAAGCGGGCGAAGCGGCGGGCACGTGACGCCAGGTGAAATTTCGGGACGTGACCACGGTACCAGCTTCGGTTAACAAGCGGATGCAGTCACGGGGGTGATTGTGGGCAGGCCCAAGGTACCATCCTTTCGCGCCCTTGGGTTGCGACTTTGCCTTTCTTCTCGATTTGAACACGAGAGGTTTGAGGAACGGGTGTGTAGACCCGACCGGCGGCGGCGTACCGTGGAACAGCTCGTACGGTGATTTGTGTCCAGGGTTGCCGGTAGTGGCGGTGCAGTTCATCTGGTGGCACGCACAAGAAATGGCCTCGGCCCACAAGCCGGGGCTGACTGGTGCGTCGGGGAACATCTCTTTCGCTTGGATGCGGGAGGCAAGCGCAGAATCAGCAAGCAACCCCAACGCTCGTTCCGCTACACCGTTGTACTTGGGGGTGTTGGGGGGCGTGAATTCTTGCTTGATGCCGTATCTACGGCAGACCTCCGCAAACTGGCCCTGGAATTCTCCGCCGCCGTCAGTACGTGCGACAAACACCTCACACGGGACGGTTTCTGCTCTGTAGTCCGCCAGATATCGCTCGAACGCGGCAGCGGCGTCAGACTTGTGCTTCAGAAAGAAAACACGTGTCCAGCGGGTGCAATCATCTCGGATGATGAGGGTGTACCAGTTGCCACCAATGCTTTTGAACTGCATCCTCCCCCCCAAATCGAGAAAGAGGCGGAACAATTTCTTAGCTGCGCGTGTGTCCGTGCTCTTTGAAATGGGCTTCACCTGCCCCTTGGACATCGAACAGCCGAGGCATGGTAGCAGCGGTCCTCCCGTCAGCTGCACTCCTTGCTGTTTCGCCGTTTTCTGGAGCAGTTCCTCGTGCGTGTGGCCGTGCGAATTGTGGTAGTAGTTGAGGTCAGTGGGGGTGGCTGCTTTCGCATCGCCAGGAACAATTGTTGCGGCACAGGCGATGTCTACCTTCGGCTCGATTTGATAGCCTTCTTGAGTTAGCAGCTTACCCGTCCGGGGGAACCACACCTTCCCCCCGGCTCTCGTAGTGAGAGTCAGCCCCCCCTTCTGGCCGGAATACGTGTGGCCTTCCTCGGCCAACGCCGACAGTGAGAGAAGGTTGTGGGGGGACTCGGGCACATGAGCGGCGTTCAGGATTAGCACTGGTACCCTACCGCCTTCGGTCAGAAAGACTACGGTCACGTCTCCGTACCCTAGGAGAGGAACGGGGGCCTTGTTGCCTCCGATCGCCTTGACCCAACCACTACACTCGCGGTAGTTCACGAACGCGTTTGCGCATCGGAACATGGAGCACGTGGCTGCTGTATCAGCCACGTACACCATGACATCCTGGCCTAGTTCCGTTACCCCCACTAGACCTAGGTCAACAGCACCACACTCGCCTGGCAGGCCCGGCGCCGCGCAGAAGGCCTGGTTGTCGACGGAGTCGGCGTCGCTGTCGGCATGGACGATCTGCGCCAGGACGGCCTCCTCCGTCGCGCACTTGTCCTTGCTGTGACCCCATCCTGCGCAGTGTGAGCACTGCGGGAGGTAGTCGCTCTCCTTGGTGGTGCAGTCCTGCTGCGTGTGTCCGAAACGGCCACACGTGAAGCACCGGCCCGGGAACTTCTTGTCCCCGGTACCGCCGCCATCTGCCCCACCAGAGCCACTCCCCTTGCTCTCCTCGACGCCGCCACCGCCTTTTCCGCTGCTGTCGCCGCCCCCGCGGCCGCCGCTGCGGCCACCGCCACGACCACGCCAGGACGACCGCCCTCGGCGGCCGCCCCCACGCCACGACGACCGCCCACGGCGGCCGCCTCCATCGGCGAGGTACGCCTGCTCGGCGCCGCGCGCGCCCTTGCCTTTCCCCGCCTTCACCTTCTCCATGATCGATCGATATTCGATGGTGACCTCCTTCAGGACGTCACTCCTTGTCAACCTCTCCTTGTGTCTGAGGGCGTGCTTGGTCATGGCGTACTCGTTGGAGAGGGCATCCAAGAAGAGGTGCAAAACGAAGGTTTCGTTAACATCAAGCCCCCGTTTCGAAAGGGACTCTGCGGTGGCGAGCATACTGTTGAGAGCATGTTGCGGATTCTCTGCCATCGGGATCTTCTTGGATGTCAGGGATTTTAACTCATCCGCAGGCTGCATGGACGATTCTGGGTCGTACAACCCCTTCAGCTCACGGAGCGCCCCCAGGGGCGACTCAGCTCGCTTCATTATTGTCCTGTCTTTTTCGTCCTTGAGAGCTCCACGGAGGAAATTCCACGCGTGGAAAGCGAGCTCTACTTTGTCGTGCGGGTAAAACCTGGACAGTTGGACTTTGCTCTGCCCACTGTTTACGGGGATCTCCGCCCCCCCCTCCTCGAAAAGCTCAAGAAGGTTTGCTGTGTTCGCTGCCATAAAAAAATCCTCTAGCCACGAAGAAAAGCTCTTGGCGTCTCCGCTGAACGTGGGCGCTGTGTACTTCACGCTTTGGTATCCCACGCTCGCACTACCGAAGACAGCAGCACCACTTCCCATGGCGCTGCTGAAACAAGCTTGATTGTGAGCAGCGGCTACTCTCACCTCTTGGGGGTCTGAACCCCCTACTTCGCCGCTGTGTCGTCCCGAAGGACCAGACTCTCTTCGCAGGTCCGCTGCCTGCGCGCTCCCGTCGTACTGCACGGTCCCAAAATGACCTGCAGCGCTTGTGGCGACGCTCTCCACGGCGCCGCCGCTTTCAGCGGCGCCCTCCGTGGCACCGCCGGACTTATCTATGCGTGCAGCAAGTCCTCCGACCAGCTGCACCAGCTGGCCCATTTGCTGTGTCAGCGAACTGATCTCAGACCGCATGCTGTCGATCTGCTCGCTGCTATTTGTGTCTCCTGCCTGCGAGCCGTCCGGAGTGGTCCCTCCGGTTCTGCGGCCCGCCATCCCTAATGGACTCCCTCGAGGGAATAAACACTAGTGTGTTGGTATGTCCGTACCTGGGAGGAGAAGACACGCTTTAACTCTCTCTGATTAGGCACCCGCGGGAGCGAGGAAAGGAAGGGAAGAAGTGGCCCTCCCGAATTCGGGGAAGGGGGCCCACACATATTAATAGTAGCTTTTTCAGGCATACGCATGCTCCTGTCTACGTCCCCCCCCGTGCTGCTAGCAGATCTACCATGCTCGTATCCAGACACACGAACAGTGCTGTCTCCAAGACTCCAACTTGAACGGCAGCAAGTGCGGGTGCCTGCGCCGGAACTGACGCAGCCGCTGTCCGCCCGACTTGACCAGCTAACTTCCGCTGTTTCTCCATGTAAGCTGCTGTAAACGCTGCCCCCATCGGAGAAGGGGCCGAAGCGGCGGCTGCTGCCGTCGCCGTCGCTGCCGTTACCTGGCCAGCATGGGAAACGCTGAGCTAGGGCGGAGTTGATACCGGAGCTTCCGTCGGAGACACACGTCCTGGTAGTATTTGCTGTCCGTCGGGGACACACGTCCTGGTAGTATTTGCTGTTGCCCAGTTGCGTTGTACTGATGAACCAGTAAGTTCTGACCGTAGTTGGGAGCTTGGGGTAAGGGGTACTGCTGCGGCATCTGCTGCTGTTGAGGAGGTTGGTACGGCGGCTGCCGCTGTACACTGCCATGCTGTTGTTGGTGTACCGACGGAATGAAGATACATACGGCGGTTGTGCAGCCTGGCTGCTGCTGTGGTGAGAGGCAGGAAGCACAAGCGTGGGGTCATTACCCCCATGTCCGACAGGGCTCACCACTCTCTGCCGTGGCAGTTGGCCCCCGGTCACGGCCTCCTCCGCATGGCGCTTGCCGAGGACATTCGTGGGAGCTTGAAAATTGAGGAGCCGCAGGGGGGTGCATGCCGCTGCACTCAAGGTTGCCAGGGGAGCTCATGATCTGCCGAGTGTGTACGCTGTCTCCAGGAGGGCGGCGATGTTGTACAGGGTGTCTGGTGGCGCTTGGTGGGGGGCGTGCGTGCTCTTCGCTAGAGTGGTTCAGGTGCTGTGCCGTGCGTAAGCTAACCGGAGGGGTGAGGGCTTGAGACAAGAAGGACTCCATGGGGGGTAGGGCAGCATACTTTCTCAGCCGTGGGGTACTTCTCAGCCGTGGGGTACTTCTCAGCCGTGGGGTACTTTGAGTTCGCGCCTAGGCGGGTTAGGTCCAAATTTAAAGATTGCTTTTTTTGGTATTTGTCGCTCTGCCGCGGGATTTCCCGACCTGTTCGCCGCCCCAGGTGTGGCGCGTGGCTGTGCGCTGTGCGTGCATCGACCGCAAACTCCTGCAGGTGCTTGCGTGTCGATCGGAGCCTTGTAGAGGGAGATCCAACTGGTAAGGTCCATGACGTTATCTACCCTCCACCGGTGGGGTAGCGGCGCATGTTCCCCACCAACCGTGGCACCACCAAAACTGAGCCGTTTCGACCTCACGATGGGTCCAATGATAGCCCTGCAACGCCGCAACACGCTCGCTGAAGTCCTGTCCTAATCGGAGTCTGGTAGAGCGAGCTACAGGTGGTGGGGTGTTTAAGCGTTAACCGCCCCACCGGTGGGGTGGTTAAGAAAATACCCCACCGGTGGGGTGTTTAGCCCTGCCGCAACATTAAAACGTGTCGTGATACAATGTACGTGACGAGTGATTGTAAATTGCCAAGAGTGCTGTAGCAAGTGAATACACGTGCATGTGTGAGACCCAAGACATGTATCATAGGGGCGAGACGTGCATCGACAGGATGTGTGTACGGGGGTGAGACGTTTTGAGATATGCATGTGTGTAACGGGGAGAGTAGAAGGTGTCGGCGTAGCCGCCAGATTTCCTGTGATGAGATGTCAACGCAGGATAGAGGTCAAGAAGGCCCCAAAGCCCGAGAGAAGAGTAGGGGAGGGCGAGTGCGGGAGACAAGCACCATATCATGGCACGGAAATCAGGACTGGTTGGGCTGAGTGCCTATGCACTGCACGTGGTGGTGTCACCTGCGGGCGATCAGAGCGAAGCCCGGTCTTGCCGACAAGTGTTCCCCATTCATGAAGGTCTCTGTAGACTATGGAAGGAACTGGACTTTGTAGTATGGTTTCCCGGCAGTGAGGCTCGAACTGGCACGAATGTTGCAACCACGTCGTCGGGAAGCGTTTTATCTTCTCAACGAAATGCCATCACACTTGTCTCTTTCCGTGCCTCGACTGCACGATAAGAGGTGTAAAATATTGAGACCATCCCTCGCAGCCGACCTTCAGCAGGTCCCACTTGTTGCTGTTGTTGTTGTCTTCATATCAAAAACCGTTTCGATCTTTCTCTACCCAGTACCTTCGTATGTCCGTACTGATCCAACACTCGACGCGGTCGATTCCCGTGGTCGCAGGCTAACTTACCCTAAAAAGGTACACTCAAAAAGGGCCCCGAGGGGTTCGCGAGTCAATAGAAACCAACGACAGATATTCTGGAGTCCTCCACTCCCTCTGCGCGCTATGCGAGGTATCAACTGAGACTATGCATTGGAGTCACCATCACGGGCCGGAGATAATGAGGTAAACCCCCTTGATTCAATCTTGGTACTTCACAACGCAAGTAGAGACAAGGCCATCTGGCACAGAAAAAGATAGAAAAAGGGAAAAAGAGAAGAAAATAAAAGGAAACAGTAAGGATAGAGAAAATGAAATAAAAAGAGCGAGGACAAAAAGGGACCAGGCCGAAAATAACAGGAAATAAGAGGCAGAAAAAGGCACACGGTGGAGAGACCACTAACGACAAGCAAAAACGCAAACATGGCCACCAACCAGCGATACATTGTAATGGTACGTCATCACTAGTGGGGGGTTGGTGCAATGGTGCAGCGTTGGGGGGGGGG